GTATATGACTTTCTAAGATATTATTTACTATTTCAGTTCATCTTCTAATTAAGACTATAGTGGCTCTTTAATTTTTGAAACTAGAAGTCAAAGCATGGTGATTTTGTATTTTCTTTGTTATTTGAATTTCTTTTCTAAACGTGGAACTATTTATCAGGTACTATTTTCAGGGTTTTTTTCTTAAATACATATGCTTTGCAATATATTATGAATTTGTGTCCTGAGGAGTGTATTGCAATTTGAAATTATTGTTGTAAAATTGTGCATTTCATACACCTATCCAATACCACTGAGTAGCCTTGGTCTATATTAAAGGTGACCAAAGCACTTACCCCAATCTATAGGAGGTCAAAAGAAATGAACACAAAATGTTTTTTAGAATGAAAGGTCAAAATACCACCCACCATCTATGGAACCCCTGTATCCAGCAAACACTGGCGGTATGCACACTGTAGAGTGTCTGTTAGTGTCTCTCAAACTGCATGGCTCCCCAGGAATTTTGCTTCATCTCCATTGCCCAGTGTCTCAAGAAAGGGTTATGTGGCATGAACCTTGCCCAGGAAAGACCAAAAATTCAAGTCCTGGAGTTCAGTTTATATTGCATGCCTCAGGTGTGCACACCAATCCAACACTGAGGGCTCCAACTGAGTTCCAGTGGGTAAGGGATGTGCACTGTAAGTATCTTGGTTATGGGTGGGAGAGCACGTGCTCTTTACAAGGGAACAGTCCATTCCCAGTATCTTTAATAGCAGATATTTTGACAATCTTGGGATTTTATTCACCTTTAAAAAATTAAAGTCATCAAATATTCCACAGTAGTGCATTTTTGTTCACTCACTGGTAGATTATTAAAAATATATTCATGCAACAATCAACACTTCCTCTACCAAGTAATTATCTCACATATATGTTATTAGGCAATGCTGGTTCTATTAATTTATTTAGGAGCATATGAAAAACCACAGAATAAACTAATCAAAACTATTTGGCTAGAGCATGTTACTCCTACTGTGAAATGAAACACATTTCCATGCCTTTTGAGTTAGAGGAGAAAATTTTACCTGGCATGAACGGACCAATTAGATCTCGGTACAAATCATAAGACTGCAACCCAGGTAAAACCAACCTCAGTCAGCTTTGCTTTGTTCTTTTGCAGAGAGGATTTGTTCATTCATTCTTCCACGAGTAGTTATGAATAACACACATTGTATATTTTGTGGATCACAAATAGCATATGACAGTTCTAGTGACTTTTCCGGTATCACTGCCCAAAGTGTCTCCTCTGGCCTGTCCCATTGGCTGACATAGGTTCTTCTGTGCTGTCTTCTCTTCATACACGAATACATTTTTTTGGCATAGTACCCATTTACATTTATAATTATCAGCTTTGTTTTATTAACTTGGTCCCACCTTTTATGCTGCAAAATAGATGCTTAAATTAAAAGAATGATTAACAAAAGAAAGGTGAGTAATTTCTTCAGAGTGTTCCTCCAGTGTGTTATTTATGAAAGAAATACAACATCTATATATCTGGTGAAAGTGAAAACATATTTTGCTATTTATAGGGTATCTGAATTACAGTCTAAGGCTCCAATTTAGAGACAAGACTTGGTGGTATAATCTTGGGTAGAGTAGTGCTCAAGCAAGGAGATAGTAGATCAAGTTTCTGAAATAAATGATTATAAAGTTCAAATGATGTGGAAAAAGTCAGACTATGAGTTTTTAAACCAGAAATGATCATTGAAAAATCCAGTTAGAACACACCATAATCTATCGAAACAAAGCCAAACTGAAGCTATATATATCATGTACAGGTATAAATTCCTATGATGAATATGATCACTATGCTTATCTAAAATGTACCAATAAACTTAATAATTTTAAAAAAGTGATATTTGTAACTGCAAAACAAAATGAAACAACGCACTGATTGGCATTGTCACCCAAAATACCAGGGCTACCACGGTTAGCCATGACTTGCTGCACACGAACCTCCAGGTTTTACCCAGAACTTGGTGCACATCTCCTAGCAGAACCAGTAGTGGAGTGCAGTGAGGGAGATGCTGACACCGCACTCGGATGGTTCCTGGGGAGGGAGGCCCAGAAAAAACCTCACACAGTCTCCTTTTGTACCTCAGCCTCTGAAAAGCTCACTCAGGCTGTCAGCACCAAACCTCTCCTGTTCCTCCCCGGCCTCCAGCAGACTTCTGTTGACAAGATCTGGCTGCAACTCACACTGGCCACCAGCAGGCCAATCCTCGCAGCCGGCCATCACAGCCCAGCTAGGGCAGCAGCTGGCTGATCCTGTTACAATGTTTGATCTTTGTGAGTAAGTTCTAACATTATGAAAATAAGTTAAGCCATGATCAATAGCAAATATGTACATATATATATATATATATATATATATTACCCATTTTACTATGCATGTATGTCTATCTTGGAATATAATTAAAATATTTTATAAAATAATCTTTGCAATTTACTTACATTTTTCCCCTCTTCTTCCCTCTGCTGCTTTCCCTTCTTTTCTCATGTCCTGTGTACTTAATTGAAAAATAGCCTTGACTCATTACTTCCAGTAGCAGCTTTAAGTGCATTATTTTAATATTGATTAAACATGGCTCATGAAATCTAAGTCCATATATGCTAAGCATCTGAATAACTGAAAACAGGTTTATTCTAGGGTTATCTCTGCTGTCAACATGCAACATGCTTGTGTCACGTTATTAACTAGGAGCCCCGAGAAGCGAGGAGCGAAAGCTCCTGGTTGATAATTCCACACTTCCTTTGTTCTGCCTCACTTTTCACTCCCTGGGCGTGGGCAGAAGATGCCTTGGTTCTGCGGGACACTTTCTGTCAGAGGCCCTCTTCCATCAAGAGTGTTCCAGAAAGGCAAAGCCTTTGTATTCTTTTTTCTTTTCAGTCTGTGCTATGTCACTAAAAAGGAGTGCGATTATAAGGTACCCTTAGATGCATGTTCTCCCCTTAGTCATTGATCATCCAGTCACTTCCATCTTCGAGGTTACACACACGGTCTGCCCTCACCTGTCATCCTGCTAATTCTCATCAGTGCTGTGGCCTTGTGCTTAGATAAATGATCCCAACAAGGTTTGCATATTGGCCATGGGGGAAGCATGGTTGAAATTCACCTGCAGTCTCATCACCGCCACTTGTGTTTCACGTGGAGGCCGGGGAGCTTCCATTGCGATTCATCATCATTATCAACATAGTTACATGTGGGCACGGGGAAGGGCGCTATAGGAACTTTCCATAACTATGGAAGCCTGCGGTTCATCCCTCTGAGGACAATAGAATACAATTAAATCAGAGGCCGTCACTATGAGCAACGTTTAATCCCTGGCTACAGTGACTGTTTGCTGGTGCTGCTACACTGTATTTCCACAGCATCCCTGTCTTCAAATGACTCCGTTTCTGCCACATTATGCAAAAACCACTAAATGAGGCATCTTTTCCAAAAATATTTTCTCCTTACCGTCACCAAGTTCAGCAAACAGAAATAACTCTTTGAGTCAGTGCCACTTGCCGACTGTGGAAAACACTTTATTTGGCTGTGGTGTTAAAATATTGTGTATGAATTATAGGTATTTATGATAATAGAATCCAAGAATCCTATTTCCTGTTTCAAACGCAATAGGAAAATTGTGATTTATTGTAGACATTCTTCACCTCAGCAAAGACAAATCCGAATGTTCTTTGCTTCACGGTATTCGAGACATTTGTCCACTGGCAAAGTAGTTTAATTCTGTTTCACTGGTTCCGACAAAAGGATCCTTTTGCATCTCAAAGGGGAGAAGAAATATTTTTTCACAAGTAACTAATACACTACCTTGACTGTTAATTTCTTTAAAAGCTATTCTTTGGAAAGTAAGACAGAAATCATTGCATTTCTGACAGGAAAAACGAATGTTTCTTTACCCAGATCTTTAGCTCCTGTGTTCAGAGCCTCAGTGTTAGGCATGTCAAATTTTAATTGATTTGTAGATGTTTTCCATTCATGAAGTTATTCTCACACTTCTTAAAAGTTTCCAACTTGACCAGACTTTCTCCTACAAATTCTAAAGACTTCTTTTATTTTTGCATCTTGAATCCTAGTCACTTTAAAGGTCTTATAGTTGTAAATTCTTCTTGACTATTTCCTGGTGTTACCAATGAATTTTATCCTCTATATATATTGTCATGATTTGCTATTAGCTTTATAAGGATTATATGTGCATAACTGCATTTATTTAACAGAAACACTTACGAATGGGTGCATGAAAAAGATAGGCAGACAATGGACCTCAACCACAGCATTTCCATTAATATGTAATTACATAAAACATGTGTGAACATATAAACACATATAAGTTACTCCTAAGAGTTAGTCAGCAATTCACTGAGGTGCCAGTGAAGGCAACATTTAATATCTTAATTTTTTGACAATTTTTGAATTCTAAGAAACTAGAAAACAGTGGAAGGTACATTTGACTGATATTTTCCCGGGGACTTCCAGAGAGCCAGAAAGAGGATTTATGCAGAAGCTTAGTGTTGTGATTTTCCAGCTGAACTTACTGAGAAAATACATTTCTTCTGTCACGTTTGCTCGCTGCTGACTGGCTCACTTCATTACGCTCCTGAGTGTCGAGAATGGAAACAAAAAAATAGCAGCAAAGTTGCCTGATTAGCCGTGGGCAGATCTGGCATGGATGATGGCAATTTATATATACAGGAGGTAAAAAGATGACTTTGATCATTAATCACAAAATTTCTACAAATGAAAGGAGCACCAGGAAAGTGTACAGTTTAATAATCTTGGAATGACCAATTCAACTCATCTCATTATATGTTTGAAGGCTCCTATAATTTCCATTCTCCTATAGCTGTCCAAGTGTTTTATACAAGCAGAAAAGATACCAAGCATGTAGTCAAGGGTCATGGGCGTTCACAATTTGTGTCGTCTCATAAATGTGTGTAATTACAACTGCTTGAAAAGTATCCCAGATTTTGAAAAGTTTATTTTAAGTTTAAAGACTAGACAAGGTCATACTGATTTTACAACATCCTACATGATTTAAGTATATATACAAAGAAAAAATAAAACAGCATTAGGATATTACACAGCTTGAAAATTTGCAAAGGTTGTTTCTCGGTTATTTTTGCAGTTACTGACCCTCCAGAAGCCACAGTCAGTTGTACATTTCATGATTTATTGACTAGCAAAGATATCCCAAGTCTTCAAAACTCACACCAATCTTTATGAAGTCATTTAGAAATAAAAAGCCTTCAATGCAGTGAGTAACCGATGAATGCACTTGAGGATACAGATAATCTGGAGATGGCTGAATTTTTAGTTTCATAACTGATAAAATTAGCACATTATAGTTAATATAGTGAAGGGTAGACAATTTCTGTTTTCTGCTTATAAGACTTCCTTTCGTGAGAATTAAAAGAAAATAAATTCGTTTCATTTTAATGTCATTGACACAAGTGACACAATGTCTACTTCACAATATTTCCATGTGTGGGAGGCTCTTTGCTGTCATCTATTTTGGGCATCAGGAGACAACTATTCCACTTGACACATTATACTGTGAAGAGCAAATAAGACAGGATAAATGTACAAGCAAGTGAAAGCAATTTGAGTGTTTTTCTAAAAATAACAAATATAATTTTAACGAACTCCTTTTTAATAGCTTTCAATACAAAAAATTGAAAACGTCACACAGTCATGAGTAGTCTTGGAAATGTAAGTTATCACAAAGCACTATTCATCATATTTAAAATATAATCTTAAAATAAAAGTCCCACATAATACGTAAAGAAAAACATTCAGGAATTTAAACCCCAACAGAAATAAGAATCACTGGCTGCACTGTTGGTATGTGAATATTTTTGAAGCTTAGTAATTATGCAAGACATGAGTTAAAATGTATTCACTTAAAAATATTTTGCATTCCCAGCTTTAAAGTTTACTACAAAAAATAATTTCGAAGACATAGCAATTTGTCTCTGAAAGATGCTGAAAGCTGAGCAGGGGCTATAAGTCCACGATTTTATTGTAAGAACCGGAAGTAGAAAACATGTGAGCTTGGAACCCCACGTGGTCAGTCAGCTCCCTCAGATCAGTTAGTTTCCTCTTACTAAAAATGTTGATGCGATTGGCTTCCCCTTTAAATTCTCCACACGATTGAAGATCGCTGCATATATACATCGTTAGGAAATGGTGTCAACACAGGGACAAACAGGACATTAACAGTTTAGTGGCTTTTATGATGAAGCACAGCATTAAAGAAAAAAAAAATACTTATCTGTGTTGGTCAGGACCTTAACATTTCCTACACACACCAGTCTTTCTTTTCCGGGACCCTTCATTTAAAATTCCAATAATTCTGTGTCTAAGCCTTATAAAATAAATACTTGTGAAGCTTATAAATTAGAGGCTGAGGACTTTTATGGAGGCAGGGTGAGCTTTAATTTGAGAGACATGTCAATGAAACCTCCATGATCAATAACAAATTGTTATGATAATTGCTTATTTTTTCAGGACCTTTGAGGCAAAATAAATAGAAATCAATTTTTGTCTTTGCGAATGGTTTACAACACTGTCATTAGTAAATACTTTGTTTGTTACAAATAACTACACAATGTGCTTTCTTGGGAAACCACCACCAGTTTTAAATAGGACAAAATTTTGGCTTCTTAGGAAATGTAGGCAGATGAGTATGTTCGGCCAAGGAGCACTGGGTTAATATTAATTGGTCAGATGCTTTTGAACTCGACAAAGAATTCAAGATTCTGTTATTTCAAAGTAAATATTAGGTTAAGTAAATACTATCAAAACAAAGACTTAAATTTAAAGGGGCATAATTTCTGTGGGTCCTTGTAGAGAAACAACAGTAAGGAATTCTTCAAAAAGGAAGTGTTTGGGGAATTACGTAGCTACAGTTTTCTTTAAAATCAAAAGAAAATAAAACACCTAATCAATGTTAAATATGTATCAACTGAGTGATATCCAATCATATTGTATAGATTTAAATGAACACAACACTTCCTTTAGGCAAATGATAGGAAAAGACTGATTCGAAAAATACTGAGTCATTCAAGCAGTAAGCAAAGAATAGAGACTGGAGTCAAAAGGGAACAAAAGTTATACAATCTCCAATTAGAAGTGATGAAAGTAAGATGAGAATTATCATATTAATTAGCACTGCATATGACAGAGTCGTCTTCAGAATTCTGTTATAGACACTGAGTGTTAGGCACAGGGAGACGAGATAATGCAGTCATTAAAAAAACTTATTGCTAACATTGCAGTATTTTTAATAAGGATTAAGCATCATTTGTAAAAGCTATACTGACTTTTTATTCTTTGACTCTTTAGTGATGAGGTTTTTTTTTTTAACCTTTGCTATAAAAAGAAGGCTACTTTCTTTCCCTAAAGTATTTCACCCAATGTAAATAATTCAGAAAACAATGAAAAAAGTAATTCACAGTTAATGTGATGTTACTTAAGAAAGTTGAACCATAAAAATCAAATCCTTGAAAAGGCAAGCTTAGACCTCCTTAAAAAGACAGTTTGTGGCCTACCATAATTTGAGCACGTTTGCATTAAAAACAAAACCCAAAAAACCCAAAAAAAAACCCCCACTCAGTTTCCTACAGAGTTGCACAGTTCCTTCCAGGGAGATGTTCTTCGGGGACTAAAGAAAAAGCTCGAGGAACTCTCGGGTTTCTCAGTCCTCCTCCGTGCAGCCCAGCAGCTCAGCCCGCAGGGTGATCCGCCCGTACCAGGACCACGGGAGGATTCTCACATATCGCGCATAGATGGGAGGGTCGATGACATTTTTTCTGTGGGTGTCGTTGTCGAAATTGCCCTGGAAAACCTAATAAAGGAGAGCGAAGAACATCAATTGCATAGGCTTCCTTTTCTCTGGAATTGTTTTTTCTTCTTCAACAGAATGCCCAATAACTGTTCATTTCCTTTGCTTCAAAATATATTTCGGTTGCTCAGTGTTCATTTTTAGCCGCCTTTTCAATTACTGTTTCAAGAGTTAAGGGAGGCAGGAATCGATTTCTAATACAGGAACACAGAGCTCTATCACTTTTATCTGCCACTGTTTGTCAAGTTTTTGAAATGCAGTATTTATATGTTGCTCACGCCGTGGGCTGCAACAGTAGGGCAGTTAGCCACCCTGCTGTCCCCCACGAGTGACTCAGAGAGCCACGCTGCTGGCAGAGCCCAGCAGGCACGTGGACATGTAACCGCCGTGTGCACAAGGGGTGCTGGTAGATGGCACACAGTGCTTTAAAGAGCAAGGTATGGAAGGGATTTACGTCATTCGGCATGTGTTCGACCTGACCGGTTCTATAAATCTTACCTGCAGAGGTGCAGGAAATGGGCTGGGATGTGTGAATGTCTGGTGAGCAGTTTTTGCACACTTCCCACGTAAAGAACAAAATTAACCCATTTCCGGAAAGGCAAAGAGTGATGGTTTTGAAATACACTTTTTTTTTTTTTTTTTTTTTTTTTTTGCATTTTTGAAACTACCCCATGAAATGCTATAGTCTTTGAGATTTGTGATATTTTGATATTCTGCACTGCATGACTTTCTTCTTTGTTAAAAAGCATTTGAAGCTCTTTTCCTCCCTCAATGACAATTTTATATTAACTTGGACAAGTGCCTGCTGAAGGGGGAAAAAAAAAGCAAATTCAAATTACTGAAATTTTCACAAGAATGACAGTACATTGTAAATTACTTTAGGAGATAATGAGGGACTTAGGAGATTTAGGTTTTACTTTAAGTCTTTACCATTTTGTGTTTCAGCTTTTGAACCTTTCTTACTAATTTCTAGTATTTTATATTTATGTTTCGTTTTAAATTTATCTCACTTAAACTACTGAAAAATCTCAAGGTTTTTTCCCTTTTAATTTTATGAAGCATCTTACAGCTGAAAGCTAATTTGTCACTTTTAAGATCAAAACATGACTACTCAGCCAAAAGAAAACTGAAAGAAAACTGAAGATAAAATTTCTAAAAGAAAATGAAACACCTTCATATGAGAGCATACTTAATCTACATCTTTGAATATTCTGAAATTAAAGGGAATGCTTTAAATATGGCCTTCTAGAATAAGTGGGCTCCAACTTATACAGTCACAAAAGGTCTCTCTGTGCTGTATCGAGAGAAAAAAATAGGTGGGTTCGAAAAGAGCATTAGATCATAGCCCTGATTAATAGTGACAGCAGATCAGAGGGAGCAGAATTTTGCTGTTTGTGTGGGAAGGTTATTTACCCTTGAGGGGATATGCAAAACACAGTCCTCATCGGGTAGGGGAACAGTTTTTCAAATTGTCATGGAATATATCGCCAAGGTTATTTATGAATAAATATTTACCAAAGAGAAGAGTACTTGGCTGTGCTAAGCCTAGGGTCTCTCATGTTGGCATATATAAATTCATATTCATTTAATAGGAATTTTATCCTCAACAATGTTTGGCCTGCATTGTCCAGAGGGAAAATCACTTTGGATTGAGATACGTTACTAAAGATAACAAGTCTCTGTTGGTAAAAGCTCACCTGTGCAGCAAATACCATGCCCACACTTTCACTTGTCAAATTTGAGAGATGTTGTCATTGCAAAAGCAGAAAACATGGGTATAAGCTCTGGTTTCCTGACATTTTTAACATAAGATGTTGGATTCAAATGCTTCATTGAGATTGTAGCATTCCATTATTAGATGGAATGTATGGATCAATTTTGTGGCCCTGATAGAGAGTGTAAGGCATCTGTAGAATAATAGGATTTCAATTCATCAATATTCACTGTCAGATCTATAATAGCTCAGAATATAGTAGTAGATCATCTCGTGGAAAGGAAATGCAGAAGAAAAAAAGTCTTTGAAATTTCTACTTTTCAGCACAGATTTTAATATAGATGTATCAAGTCATCCAGCAGCAAATGATTAGTTACATATCTTTGTTCATAATGGGAGACACATAACAGATTGTCTACTGAGTACAAGTAGTGTGCTTCCTTAACTTGTTTTCTGAGACAGGATTCTGCTCTATAGTTCAGGCTGGCCTCAAACTCATAGTAATCCTCTTGCCTGAGCCTCCAGGGTGCTAGGATTATAAGCCTGGGCCATCTTGTTCAGGGTTAAGACTGAAGTTTCTGATTTAATGTGCAAAAATTATAGAAACTTCTAAGTTTCATTTTTAAAAAGTCATGTGAACTTTCACAAAACAGCATAATTTGTAAAACAAAAGTGCTCACAGGAAAGAGCTGAGATGGATATTGGAATCACCAAGGCCAGAGTCTGAAACTGAAGAAAACGTAAATGTATTCTTGGAGGGGTCCGGCTGGGGACAGCACGGAAGGGGCAGCACATACTGGCTCAGCCTACCGTGGTGTCTCACAGCTGCTGTGTACACACATGGCCCACACTGTGTGCCTGTCTGTGGTGCTAGGAAGACCTCTAAAGACAGCTATTTCCACTTTAAAGGGAAAAGGAACGTACCCACAGCAGTGTAGGTTAGCTTTATAAAATCTCTAGCATGTATTTCACACACCTGCTTGAGGGTTATAAGAAACTCTTCTTAAAACTGTAGTCGGTAAAGGGTCATGGTGCATACCACACCTCCGTAGAGAAGGGGGGACATTTAATATGAGAAAGGAGAAAGTTGATTTACAAACTTCTTAAGAAGTGGACACAAGTTACAGTTCTGGGAGGGAGGGAACTAACAGGCTGATGACAAGGGTCCAGATGCAATCAAACCTGACAATGCCCTGGGATCCCTCTGGCACTGCCTAACATGTGGGGCTTTAAAAAACAGGCATGCAAGACTCTTCCAGAGGCTTCTGTATTAAAACCTAAGAGAAGACAAGGGACAGACACACACTTCCTTCAACGTGAGCGAAACACTGGACTCTGATTTCCATGGTTAACTGTCCTTGATGCCAGTTACAGTTCAGATTGCAATGTACTGGGTTCAAAGCCCAGCATCTACAGAAGATCAGATAAAATGTAACAACTAAACGTTGCTTCTGTAAACATTCTAATACATTTTTAATTGAAGGCATGTTATTGTTTTTTGGGCACCAAAGTCCATCCAGGCCAGTATAGGCAGCATCTTTAGAAAGCTACGACTGATGAACAAGGAAGGCAAGATTACCCCAGGGATGGGGACACAGAAGCGAGGACTTCTGAACCCTCACTCTAGGAGTCGCTTTGAACTTACTATTTATTTACAAAACTACCTGTTCCTGAAGGCATACTTCTTTTTATTTAAGTTATTTAAACTTAACTCAAAGTTTTAAACAAATTTCCATTGTTCTAACCTTTTGAGATACGTGCTCAGGTCATCCCAGTGACGAGAGGTTCTTGGTGCTTCTTTGTAGCCCTCCTTTGTTCTTTAAGATTGGTGAGTTAGTATTTCAGTGAGGGCTCAAGTGACTCCAACTTCACCCATCCACCTTTGGGTGGCCCATCCTAGATTCTGTTATTTCTTACCGGCAGATGGAGATTACAGCCATAGTTGTGATTCCAGATAGTGTGCAAAATCTGAAGGTTGAAAAAAAGCTTCCTCCAATTTTCTTTATTGTTTGCTATTTATCTTGTTAATTGTGTTTAGCTTATCATTGGTGTTATCAACTATACCTATTAGAGAAACCATGTTGTTCAGCAAGAGAGAAAGAAGATAAAGTATCTGCTTCCCTGAGTGTGAGTGTGCGTGTGTGTGCGTGCGTGTACACATGCGTGCATGTCTGTGGTTGCACAGGTTGAAAGGGAAGAATCCTATAGCTTGCATTTCTTATTTCAACTACTTGTCTTTTCATCCACAGTACTTACAGCAAAATAGTAATGTAGGAATACTATTTTCTAGCTCTGATCCCTGATATCCCTTGCTTTTATCTAATTTGACACAAAGAAGGAATCTGAGACTTGGAAAAGAAGTCAGATCTTTGCAGCAACTTCCCTCACTAACATTTCTGACAGCTTTCAACTCTCCACAGCAATATCCCGTCTAAGAGAGTGGATATATGTTTAGATAGTTTGAAAATCAGTATTTCCATTACTAATATACCTTTCTCTAACTTTAACATATTCATTGTAGTGTTTTATTTTGAAGGAACATAGAAGTCTAACCCATTAAATGAGAAGTATTTTTTGGTATATTTAACACTAACACTAACTCCTCAAAAAAGTCATATTTAATGCTTCAGGCTAAGTATTCCTGGTCTAACAATTCCTCATGTTGCATCGTTTTCAGACTTAACTTCATCTTGATTTCATTTCATTGCATTCCTCATGGCTTAACTAGAACTAAATTGAAGTGTGGCATTAATTTGGACTTAGAATACATTCTACACAAAACATATTCCACACAAAAGACATGGTGTGTCTTTGCTGTAGATGTAAAATTTTGATCAATGTCAATCTAAGATTTAAAGCTATTAAAATTTGGGGTTAACAAATACTGGACTTTCACAACATTTTTCTTAATCTTGTTGTTTTACTTGTAGATATTGGTTTCATAAATTTATAACTGTCCTAATTTTTATTTTACTGAAATCATGACATTTTATACATAGCAATTGCTCCTTAAGATTATTATTTATTTTTAAAATAGTGTAAATTTAGTGAATACTAGGATTTAACTATTTCACAAAGTAACCATTTATTATAAAATGAATATAAAACTTTTTTGTGAGTGACCTAAAGGTCAGGTGCTTATTAGTTTAGGGTTCGGCACCATAAAACTCAGTTTTATATACTTTGCATCAACATTACTTGAAATTTTGGACTGTAAAAATTTTAGAGTTACAGCTTGAAATAAATCATTGGCTTTAAGTAACTCAGTCTTAATGAAAATTTTCACTGT